GCCTTGCAGTCCAAGGGACTCAATGCAGGAGTCTTCTCCAGCACCAGAGCTCAAAGGCCTCCATTCTTTGGCGTTCGGCCTTCTTTATGGTCCAGCTTTCGCAGACATCCATTACAACGGGGAGAACCATAGCCTGAACTCTACACACTTTCAAGGCTATGGTTTTTCCAGTTGCAATGTTTTAATAGCCCTCTATTAAAGGCAATTCCGTCCTGCTGAAGAGACTACCTATAGCTCAGGGGTTGAACTGTCTGAGTCCAGTTGTTTTCTTGCAGATGTTTCATTATCCAACTAGGTAACATCATCAATGCTAGAAGAAAATGTGGTTTAAAGTAAAGGAGGAGGATTATTGGTGCTGTCTAAGCTCAGTTGTATTTTTTTAAGGCATTTGATTACCCAATTTAAGTAACATTATCTGTACCTAATGATCACCATCACTGTCAAAACACCATCCACACCATCCGAGCACTGATGATGTTACCTAGTCGGGTAATGAAACGCCTGCAAGTCCACCACCAAACTTTCCAATCTGTGTTTTTGTCAGGGTCTCCTCCTTGAGCAGGGGGTTGGACTAGATGACCGCCAAGTTCCCGCCCAACTCTTTTATTCTATGTAAACCCGGAGTGCATCCAGGACCGAATGAACAGGATGCCTATATCGCCCTTGGAGACGTGTGAGATTTGATCCATTAGTGCTACTCACAGCAAAGAGCGCATGAAAAAATAAGCTGTTGGGCAGGGCCCTTAAGATAATGGATTAAGTTCATTTGCTTTGGCTCTAAGCCCTAGCAAGATAACTAGGCGCATATTCCTAGGCGATAAAGGACAGAAACCACACACAATTTCAGGAACTTGGAAACTGTTCATTCCCATCAGTGGCGCATAGAATAGAATTAATTTTTTTTATTATAAACAGTTATACACATTGACAAAGACATACACCACACTTACAAGTAACGTTAGAACTTCCCGTTCCTTCGTACGGCAGATATTTATCGGTGCATTTTTACAGACACCCTCAATCCATCTCTATACATTTTTACACTTATCATCCTATTATTTCTTACTTTTTGCTCATCAGTCTGTTTCGCTATTTGTATCAGAGAGTCTTTATTGCTCTTCTAACTAATGAATACCTTCTTCTACTTCTGTAAATCCTACTTTCCAACCTTCTTTTCACTAACTCCTTCTATACTACAAACTATATATTTTTTAGATTCTTATTTCCGATTGCTATCATCTAGCCATTTGTACCATTTTCCCCAAATTAGATAGTAGGATTGAATTCTTTATTGGCCAAGTGTGGTTGGACACACAAGGGATTTGTCTTTGGTGCAGATGCTCTCACTGTACATAAAAAGAAAAGATGCATTCGTCAAGAATCATAAAGTACAACACTTAATGATAGTCCTAGGGTACAAATAAGCAATCGGGAAACAATATCAATATAAATCGTAAGGATACAAGCAACAAATTTTCAGTGCTTCAGTCATAAGTGGGAGGAGATGGGTGATAGGAAGGTTGGAAAGTAGGATTTACANTCTCTCCTCCTCTCCCCTCCTTGCCCTCTCTTCTATCCCTCACTTCTTCCCTTACCTCTCTCCTCTACTTCCCACTCCTCATTTCTCTCCTCCTCTCCCCTCCTTGCCCTCTCTTCTATCCCTCACTTCTTCCCTTACCTCTCTCCTCTACTTCCCACTCCTCATTTCTCTCCTCCTCTCCCCTCCTTGCCCTCTCTTCTATCCCTCTCTCCTTCCCTTATCTCTCTCCTCTACTTCCCACTCCTCATTTCTCTCCTCCTCTCCCCTCCTTGCCTTCTCTTCTATCCCTCTCTCCTTCCCTTACCTCTCTCCTCTACTTCCCACTCCTCATTTCTCTCCTCCTCTCCCCTCCTTGCCCTCTCTTCTATCCCTCTCTCCTTCCCTTAACCTCTCTCCTCTACTTCCCACTCTTCATCTCATTTACTTGGTGTATTTCAGCCTCTGAGCAAGCTCCATTTTATGTTGATGGCATTTATAATTCCATTTCAACATATACCTTTAATTTTAACATCTATCTTCCTAGCCTTCGCTGGAGGCTTTCAAGAAGAGACTGGACAGGATTTGTTTGGAAGGATATAAGCTCTCCTGCTTGAGCAGGAGATTTATTTATTTATTTATTTATTTATTTTATTTATTTGGTTTGTCGAACATGTACGAGATAACAGGTATAAGTATAAACACAGGAAATGGGTACGAATAAATGGAGACAATAGAACAGGGACGATAGGCACGCTGGTGTGCTTATGCAGGCCCCCTAACAGACTTCTTAGGAATGGGGTGAGGTACATGGTAGACAATTTAAGGTTGAAGCTATCGGGGGTTTGAGGATGCAACAACGGAGTCAGGTAGAGCATTCCAGGCGTTGACCCCTCTGTTGCTGAAGTCGTATTTTCTGCAATCTAGTTTGGAGCGATTTACCTTGAGTTTGTGTCTATTGTTTGCCCATGTATTATTGAGGTTGAAGCTGAAGTAGTTGTTGAGAGGTAGGACGTTGTAGCAGACAATTTTGTGTACTACGCTTAGGTCTCCGAGGCCCCTTCCAACTCTGTAATTCTGTATTCAGCCTGACTGGGTAGAAGAGGTCAAGGTATTTGGGATGAGATGGTTTCTTGGGTGTCCTGTTTCCATGCCAATAAACAGCTTTAAAAGTAATAACGGACACTTTGAATGGGACTCAAAAGCAGGGGTCTGATGGAAGAAAAAAGGGAAATGTCCTCAACCTCCTCGACACAAACAAAGAGAAGTAAGCACTCGTAATCCATATCTGCACATAGAAATCTCCAGTTACTGGCACATCATCTAAGTATCTCTTAGGCACGAGGCCAGAAATAAGGACTTTGATAGCGTGGGAAGAGCACTTATAAATGGCAAGTGTTTGTGAGCACCTCTTTAAGCCAACCGGTGGTGCTACAAGGAAGGTGCTTGATCTACAAAGGGAAGTTTGGGAGAATAGACCACCAAAGGGGTTTCTTCAACCTCTTAGGATGGGTGGACTTCAACTCCCAGAATTCCCCAGCCAGTGCAAGCCGATGGCACACTTAACTCTGCCTGCTCTTCTGCAGAGAGCCACTAGTTGGCCTAAGAGGGCCACAGAAAGAATAAACTCTGCTGCCATCTAGTGGCAACCCAGATCCTTTTTAGTGTTGTTGTTAGTTGCGAAGTCATGTCTGACCCATCGCAACCCCATGGACAACGTTCCTCCAGGCCTTCCTGTCCTCTACCTTCCTCTGGAGTCCATTNCTATCTATCTATCTATCTATCTATCTATCTATCTATCTATCTATCTATCTATCTATCTATCTATCTATCTATCTATCTATCTATCTATCCACAGAAACACACACACACACACACCACCACCATTCCCTATCCAAACCGGTTGCTTCCTAAGGTACCTTAGCATTAAAGCTCCACTACAGGGCAGCACCTCTCCTGAAGTGGAAACCATTGGCAACCAAGGCAGGCATCTCCTGGTGGTCTCCTTTCCTCGCCCGAACACACAACCCTTGCCCGTCCACCAGCTGGGCCCCCTGTCTGCGCCCAGAAGGGGAGGAAGAAGAGGCAGCTCGGTCTCCTCGGTGGCGGGGGAGAGGGGGGAGGGAGGGACGGAAAGAAAGGAAGAAAAAGAGCGGGAGGAAAAAGGAGGAGAAGAAAGCGAGGGAACGCAGATTTCTCCTCAGGGAGGCCCGGCAGCCGGGCTCTTCCCTCTCGGGGGGGACGCCCCTCCCTCCGCGAGAGCGGCCTCGCCCAGCTCCGCCCACTCCCGGCCTCGCCTCGCCTCACCTCAGGGGTGGGCGTGGCCGCGCGCGCCGAGGGAACCGCCCGCCCTGCCTCCCCTCCCTCCGCTGAGGTGGCCGGTTCCGCAAGTTTGACAGTTGGCGCGGAGGGCGCCGGTGAGGAAGGAGGGTCCTTACGCCGCTGCGCGATTCGCGTCCCCTCCCCAACGCCCGCCGGGGACCCAAAGCCGCCTCACACGTCCCGAGGGGATCCCAGCCCCCGTGTCTGCCCGCCCGGGGCCACCTAGCCCGCCTGCTTCGCCTCCTTTGGCCGCCGCCGTCATGTCTCGGGGTCCCGAAGAGGTCAACAAGCTGACCGAGAGCACCTATAAGGTGAGGGGGGGCGAGAGGGAAGGGAGGGGGGGGCTGGGGTCTTGTCCCCCCCCCCAAGAGGGAAAAGGGACCCCTGAATTGCAACCAGGCGAGGGCTTTCTTCGTCTCCCTCCCCACCCAGCCTGACTCCAGGCAAACTTAATTTTTTGCTCTTTTATGGGGCTGGGAGATTGCAAAGCCAAACTTCTGTTTTGGCTGCTTTGGTGGGAGTTTCGACTTTAAAAAAAAAAGTTGTTCCTTGCATNTAGATAGACAGATAGATAGATAGTTCTAAGAGCCTCATGTTGGGAATGATGGAGGGCAGAAGAAGAAGAAGGGGACGACAGAGAAGGAGGTGGCTGGATGGAGTCACCGAAGCAGCCGGCGTGAGCTTCAATGGACTCCAGAGGATGGTAGAGGACAGGAAGGCCTGGAGGAATGTTGTCGATGGGATCATGATGGGTCAGACATGACTTCGCAACTAACAACAACAATTTTTTTTTTTTTTTTTAAATGATGAGGTTGCCCGGATAGAAATATAACCCTCTCTTCTGCAGTTTTATATTTCATTATTTGACTCTGTGGTCATTCCCTCCTCCTTTCTATCCTCTAACATAAAATAAGGTCCTTGTGCTTCGATTAGGGTGGATATAAATCAATGATTTTTCAAAAATAAAAAATAAAAAAATGGATTTTTCATTTAAATCGGATTTTTAAATTTAAACCGGATTTTTTTATTTAAATCAGATTTTTAAATTTAAATCGGATTTTTTAATTTAAATCGGATTTTTTTACTTAAATCAGATTTTTTTTAGAATTAAATTTATTTTAATAAAATGCTTTTGGAGTAAAGATATATCTAAAGATAGTTTTCTATTTAAGATACATTCATAGTTTAGTTTATTCAGCATGAAATGGGGCTTAGTTGGGTAGCGTGAGGCTGCATATTCTGCAATATTGGGACTCTCGGTGAGTCAACAGCGGGTCAGAGGAGGAGCCGTTGCCGGAGAGAGATCACGATTTAAATTGTGGTTTAAATCATGATTTAAATCAACTTGATCTAAATCAAATCCACCCTGGCTTCGATTTTATTCCCCGAATTCCGTCTTTCTTCAAGGTCAACAGAACTTGGATTTGAAGCCCTGAAACAACCAGACCACTGCGAATTCTGCTTTTGGACATTTATTGACAGGGAAATGGTGACAGAATGGCTGACATATTCGCTCCTTAGAAAAATCCAAGCGGCAACATTAAGTCCGTCAGGAGCGGGCAAGGCACGGAACGATTGTTTGCATCAACACAACTTGCTTAACCGGGTGAGCAAAGGTAGCGCAGATGTATTCAGGCAGCAGACAGACATTTTATTGAAGAACTTTAGGCCAGAAAGTTTAAATTGTGCCAGGGAAAATCCGCTTTTATTTTCTAGACTAGTGTTTCTCGACCTTGGCAGCCCTGAAGACCTGTGGACTTCAATTCCCAGAATTCCCCAGCTGGACACACCAGCTGGGGAATTCTGGACATTGAATCCGCACATCTTCAAGGTGCCCAAGGCTGGGAAACACCGATTTAAAGTCCCTGATAAGGTCAGGGGGCTTAGAAAAAACAGGAGATGGTTATCAACGCGCACTGATGACGTTACCTGGTACGGTAATGAAAGGTCTGCAAATAAACCACTAAGTTCAGAAAGCACCAAGGGCTGCACAGATGATTGTGAATCAGGCAGAAAGCCTCGGTAGATCCACCTCACTGGAAAACCAAAACTACTTTTATTGAGATTGGCCCTAATAACAGAATCAGAGGTGGTATTCAGCAGGTTCTGACCAATTCCGGAGAACTGGTAGCGGAAATTTTGAGTAGTTCGGAGAGGCGGTAAATGCCACCTGTGGCTGGCCATGCCCCCACCTATTCGCTGCCTCCTGAGTCCCAGCTGATTGGGAGGGAAAGGGGATTTTGCAGTAACCTTCCCCTGCCATGCCCACCAAGCCACGCCCGCAGAACCGGTAGTGAAAAAAAAATGAATCCCACCACTGAACAAAATATTAAAACTTGGTTTGTTAAACCTCCTTCTCCAGTAAATGAAAGAGCCACTTCCGAACATTTTTCGGACATTCTGACTTTTAAAAAATGGTTTCCCTATTGACAATAGTGCTTGCATATCTATGTATTCCTGCTTGAGCAGGGGGTTGGACTAGAAGACCTCCAAGGTCCCTCCAAATTCTAATTCTATTATTTATATCCTTATACTCCAGTGAATTAAAGAGGCGTCTGCCTGAGCCACTTTTAAACATTTTTGGGGACATTCCAGGCTTTAAAAAATTGTTTCCCCATTGGCAATAGAATTTGCACATCTCCATATTCCTGCTTGAGCAAGGGGTTTGACTGCAGGACCTCCAAGGTCCCTTTCCAAGTCTTAGTCTGCTATTCATACCACTTTCCTTATTCTCTGCAAGGACAGAAGGAAGTGCCCCGATCACCACAAACCATATAAATTCCAAGCTCAGTAGTCATAACAAAATTTCTCCAAGTCCCAGGGGACCCAGAGCTCTAAAAGGAAATAATCTGTGCTTGCTCTTCCCTTGGTAACTCCTTTCTCCCCACAGGGCCGAGTGCCAGTTGACTTAACATGCAATTGCAATCCCTTTTATTGGCTTCATATCAGAAGATATTTATTCCGGTTGCACAACATTCCTCACACATACTTTGAAAAGAATGAAAATAGATAGAGGAGGGAATTTGAAACTTATTGCATTGAATTTTCTGGGGACTATCGAGGCCATGTTTCATTTACCCTAGTTCACTGCAAGGCGGTGTTTTCTCAACCTTGGCAACTTGTGGACTTCAACTTCCAGAATTCCCCAGTCAGCATGGCTGGCTGGGGAATTCTGGGAGTTGAAGTCCACAAATCTTAAAATTGCCAAGGTTTGACACCCCTTGTGTAAGGGTTAAGGCATCAGGCTGGAAACTGGGAGACCGAGAGTTCTAGTTTTGCCTAGGGCACAAAAGGCAGCTTCGTGACCTCGGGCCAGCCACTCTCTCTCAGCCCTAAGAAGGAGGCAACAGGAAACCATTTCCAAAAAAACCTTGCCAAGAAAATTTCAGGGACCAGTCCAGGCAGTGTCCGAGAATCGGACACAGCATAGAACGGAAGGAGGGGGGGGGGGAAACTTAAAGGCACGGTATCATTAGACCAGAGGGCTTAATTCAATATTAGAACTTACACCTCTCTCTACAAGGGCCGTTTTAAAATGTGTGTCTCTAAGTTTGAACTACTGCATTGCTGCAAACTTTTTTTTTTAATGGATTAATCGGTTTAGTTAAGGTGTTCGAAGGAATCAGAAAGAGTAGGGACTCAGTGGCGCAGTGGCTAAGACACTGAGATGTTGATCAGAAACGTCGGCGGTTTGAATCCCTAGCGCCGCCTAATGGAGTGAGCTCCTGTTACTTGTCTCAGCTTCTGCCAACCTAGCAGTTCGAAAGCAGGTAAAAAAATGCAAGTAGAAAAATAGGGACCACCTTTGGTGGGAAGGGAACAGCATTTGGCATTGAGTCATGCCGGCCACATGACCACGGAAACGTCAGCGCTGGCTCTTTGGCTTTGAAACGGAGATGAGCACCGCCCCCTAGAGTCGGGAACAACTAGCACACATGTGCAAGGGGAACCTTCACCTTTACCTTTTAAGAGTTCAAAACTGAATTTAAAGCTAGCAACCTAGGTAGCTAGCAACTATCATTTCGGTGTGTGTGTGTTGGTGTCTTAAGGAACAAAGGTGAAGTTTTCAGCGAGGGATTTCTGTTTGAACAACAAAACCTTCTCTAATACAATACTCAAAGGGCAGGAAAAACCCTTTAATCTGTAAACTGCACTTGTACGTATATCTATACTTTGCCATACTAAAAATTAAGCTCCCCTTGATCCTTTCGGTTTTATAAGAAGGCCTCTGGGGCTCTGCGTTAAGTCCAGACTGATATAGTCATAACTAAATAGAATATTTGAGGCTAGTGCTTTGCAGCAAATCAGTTGTTCTTCTTGTTTAGAAGAAAGATACTCCTCGACTTACGACCGCAGTTGAGCCAAAAATTTATCTTGCGAAACGGGACAGTTGTTCAGTGAATTTTGCCCCATTTTACAACCTCCCTTGCCGCTGTTGTTAAGTGAATCCCTGCAGTTATGAAGTTAATAACAGGGTTGTTAAGTGAATCCCTGCAGTTATGAAGTTAATAACACGGTTGTTAAGTGAATCTCTGCAGTTATGAAGTTAATAACACGGTTGTTACGTGAATCTGCCTTCCCCATTGATTTGGCTTGTCAGAAAGGTTGTAAAGGGGGATCATGTAACCGCGGGACATTGCAATCGTCATAACCGTGAGTCTGTTGTCAAATATCTGAATTTTGATCCCGCGACCATGGGGATGCCTCAACGGTCGTAAGTGTGAAAAAACGGCCCTTTTTTCAGTGCTGTTCTAACTTCAGACGGTCACTAACCGAACTGCTTTAAGTTGAGGACTAACTGTAAAGTAAAACTCTATTATTTTTAAATGTTATGGGCTTAAAAATCTGTATTTTGTGACCTGGAAGGCAAGCCCTTGCATTGTTTTCCCAACGTCGTATTTTATTATTTCATCCTGGCAAGGGCATGAAAAAAATAACATGAAAACATAATTACACACCAGCAGAAGAAAACGTAATAAAAAAATGTGCAGAGATGGATAGGCTCACGAAAGAATTAAAAGAGAAAGAAGAACCTGAATGTTACTGCGTATGGGATTTATGATATAATTCGCTAGAGGAAAGTGGGGGGAAGCAAAAAAGAAAGGAAGAAAGGTCAATAAATTAAAAAACAACCATAAACAAAATAAAAAGTTTAATTTTTTTTTAATTGTCATCTCTACTATTTGTTGGCACTTTCAAAAATGAAGGTGCAGAGTTGACTTCTGTCCCATTGGCTCCTTCATAATAGTGGCTTCTTGAATTGAACCAGAGGCCAAAGTCCTCAAGACCATTCGAAAGGTTATTTTTGCGTCTTCTGTGATATTTACCCAGAGGGTTTATGCCAGTTTTTGCCTTCCCTGGGCTCAAGACTGAGCCAAGATCTATGTTTACCCAGCGAATCTCAGAACTGTTGCTGGGAAATAGGATTGGCTAAGAGAAGACATCCTGTTCAGGTGTATATGATGCAACAGCGAAATGGGGCAGGCTGTAGAGCAATGTTAGCAGTCTTCCAAGATCTCAGGGGCTGCCCCAAAGAAGAGGGAGTCAAGCTATTCTCCAAAGCACCTGAGGGCAGGACAAGAAGAAACGGGTGGAAACTAATCAAGGAGAGAAGCAACATAGAACTAAAGAGAAATTTCCTGACAGTGAGAACAATTAATCAATGGAACAGCTTGCCTCCAGAAGTTGTGAATGCTGGAAGTTTTTAAGAAGAGATTTGTCTGAAATGGTATAGGGTTTTCTGCCTAAGCAGGAGGTCGGACTAGAAGACCTCCAAGGTCCCTTCTAACTTCTACTCTACTCTACTCTACTCTACTCTACTCTACTCTACTCTACTCTACTCTACTCTACTCTACTCTACTCTACTCTACTCTACTCTACTCCAGTCTACTCTATTACAGAACAGAAAAGAATTCTGTCCTGTTCAGGTGTACATGAAGCAACAGTGAAATGGTGTAAAGCAATGTTAGCAGTGTTCCAAGATCTCAGGGGCTTCCACAAAGAAGAAGGGGGTCAATCTATTCTCCAAACACCAGAAGGTAGGAGAGGAAGCACCTGGAACTAAGAAGAAATTTCCTGACAGGGAGAACAATTAATTGGTGGAATTGGAAGTTGTGGGTCCTCTATCACTGGAGGTTTTCAAGGAGATGTTAGATATCCATTTGTCTAAAATGGTGTAGAGTCTCCTGCCTGAACAGAGAGTTGGACTAGAAGATCTCCAATTTGATATTCTAATGCTTCTTATCCTTAGCAACGTGAAGATTTGTGAACTTCAGCTCCCAGAATTCCCCAGCCGTGAAGATTTGTGAACTTCAACTCCCAGAATTCCCCAGCCGTGAAGATTTGTGAACTTCAACTCCCAGAATTCCCCAGCCGTGAAGATTTGTGAACTTCAACTCCCAGAATTCCCCAGCCGTGAAGATTTGTGGACTTCATCTCCCAGAATTCCCCATGGTTGGCCGCGGAATTCTAGGAGTTGAAGTCCTCACATCTTCATGTTGCCAAGATTGAGAAACAAGGTTGATGAAACATTTGACTCGTCCAAGTGTTTCACGCCAGTAGGTGTGAGAGTTGAGTGCAACAAGGAAGAGCTTCGATAAAATACTTTCACCCTGTTGCACTTTCCATGCCCACTGCGTAGGAGTGAATGGTTTAAGATCAACTTTATGGCCACAGGAGGAGGAGGAGGAGGAGGAGGAGGAGGAGGAAGAGTTGACGGAAATCCCCAGCTCCTTCAGGCTTGCTATTTTAAGACGAATTGCAATATTAAATGCTTTCCCCTAGATTTGGAGCTATGTTTCCTAAAATTATAGGGGTTTGCTAAATTAGCTTTGATGCTATAAATTCTAGGAACTGCAGTGCTATCCTATCTGAAGCCAGATGGAATCAGATTACATTAAATCCATTTTGCTAACTGCTTGTGTTTATACCCATTGCAACCTTCCCATTATTCCTTCATTTATGTAAACTGTTTTTCTTTTAAAGCTGTTGATTTTTCTTTTAAAAACGTATCAGGTTGCAGATGTAACTGTGTTGTTATTTTCCGTGTGGGTTTTTTTCCCCCCCTCAGTGTAAAGAATTACGTTTAAAGTAACATGATAGTTCTTTGTTTCAAAAGGACACTTTGCAAGTTTTTATTTTGATTTTAAAAAAAAAACAATCACGAAATACGTATTCTGAAGTAGGCGGGTAAAAAAAAATTAACCTGTAGTCTCTTGCAACTTCCTACTGTTGGAAAGATTTTAATCACACTCGGATTGAGGTTCATCCTGGCTTTTTGCTAAGAATGTGAGCGAGTTGACAAACCAGATTTAAGAAATATCCTTACTCTGCGGACTCCGCATTAACTCTGCTTTATTATTGTCTTTAAACTTAAGATTAATTAGTTAGGAGAAACACAGAATGTCTTAACCAAAGCCAACACTTGGGGCAAATTTTTTTTGGGAATAGGCCATGGGAAGACAACGGACTTAATTCCTGAAAATGAGTTTATTTTCATTTACATGCGCGGATCTGTTGTTTAGTAGCCATGTGCCTGTCACAAACGCATCATTTGCAGAAAGCATTTAAACAGATAATAATAAGCTGCCTCTCTCTTACACCAATCATCCAAGCAATTTCACTTAGGAAAGAAGTCTACTCCACTTATTTCTCAACTTGCAACAGTTCACTTACATTGAACTGTGATTATTTGAAGTTACAACAGCACTTACGGCTATTTTTCACACAACAGTTGCAGCCATGGCCGTGGGATCAAATTTCAGACCCTCGGCAACTGATTCATATTTATGATGGTTGAAGTGTCTCCTGGAATCCAGACTGACTTCAAAACCGTGCTACAAATTTAACAACCGCGGCGATTCACTTAACAAATGCAGCCAGCAAAGTCGCAAAATGGGGCATAGCTGACGTGACAAATATCTCACTAAGCGACATACATTTTGGGTTCAATTGTTGTCGTATGTTGAGGAGAGCGTGGACTTCGTCTTCCGTTTCCATTTTCCTCAATAAAAAATGAATCAGAGCATAGAAGAATCAGGTTGGAAGGGGTTTTGGAGGTCTTCTAGTCCACCTCCCTAGACTTGCTCGAGCAAGTAAACATATTAAATCTAGCAGTGACATAATAAAAGGGTGACCTTGGCAGAATTTGATCGCCTGGCTTTTCACAGCTAAAATATGTCTCCATGTTCCCATACATAAAAACGAAGAAAAAGTTTCCACTGTGTTCTTTTTCTCTCTCTCACTTCTTCTTCATAACAGTGGCTGACTGAAGTATAAATGTTCCTGCCCAGGAGTAGGTCCCTGCCGGCATTACTAACTGTTCGGCGCGCAAAACCTTTTGGGTCTGCGTTTGCGCAAAACCATGCGGCCGCTGCCTTTTGAACCAATCGGATCTTCCCAATAGTTTATACGGGCAGTTCCATGTCAAGTGTTAAGCAGTTCAGCAGCTCAAATCTCACCAGGTTCGAGGTTGACTCAGCCTTCCATCCTTCCGAGGTCGATAAAATGAGGACCCAGATTGTTGGGGGCGACTCTGTAAACCGCTTAGAGAGGGCTGTGAAACACTGTGAAGTGGTATATAAGTGCTATTGCTAGTCCCTTCCTTCCTTCCTTCCTTCCTTCCATCCATCCATCCATCCATCCATCCATCCATCCATCCATCCATGGTGCACAGTGGTTAGAATGCAGTATTGCAGGCTGACTGCCCACTGCCAGCAGTTCAATCCTGACTGGCTCAAGGTTAACTCAGCTTTCCATCCTTACGAGGTGGGTAAAATGAGGATCCAGATTGTTGGGGGCAAGAGGCTGACTCTGTAAACCCCCTAGAGAGGGCTGAAAAGCACTGCGAAGTGGTATATAAGTCTGCTATTTCTAGTCTCCTTCCTTCCTTCCTTCCTTCCTTCCTTCCTTCCTTCCTTCCTTCCTTCCTTCCTTCCTTCCTTCCTCCACAGTGGTTAGAATGCAGTATTGCAGGCTGACTGCCCACTGCCAGCAGTTCGATCCTGACTGGCTCAAGGTTAACTCAGCTTTCCATCCTTACAAGGTGGGTAAAATGAGGATCCAGATTGTTGGGGGCAAGAGGCTGACTCTGTAAACCCCCTAGAGAGGGCTGTAAAAGCACTGTGAAGCGGTATAGAAGTCTAAATGCTATAAATCATGTACAATAATATGGTTGGAAGGGAACCTTGGTGATCTGTGATGCTGCGTTTATTTCCCTGCCTCCTCCTGTTTTATATTCTTTCTGTCTCGATCAAAGGTTTTCACTTCATGCCATCTTCTAGGGCTGGAATCTAGATATCACATTTTGGGGTGATGGTAATGAAAAGCAGGCCGCCAGTTTTATAAATACGTAAAATGTCAAAACACGAAGCAATATTTTTTTCCCCTCTGACTCCAAAATCCTTTTTAGCAAGCTCGAAAGGCCGCTGGGTCAAAAGCCTACATGTGTTAAATGACAGGGCTAAAAAATAGCTAGAATTTTCAGTTAATTTAAGGAAGGACCTTAACTCTGTCTCTTGTTTTCTTGTTGCTCTTCAGAATGTTATGGAACAATTCAATCCAGGGCTGCGGAATTTAATTAATCTGGGGAAAAACTATGAAAAAGCCGTTAACGGTAAGTCTCCATTACACGTTTAACGTATCTATATTGTCATTTTTTTTTTAGTATAGTCTTTATTGTCATCGTACAAAATAAATACGACGGAACTGGTTAATTTTTAAATTTGCAGTTTGAAAACCTAATAGCTGCCTTGCAGTGAAATGCAGGTAGTCCTCCACTTACGACCGCAATTGAACCCAAGATTTCGGTTACAAAGCGAGGCGGCCGTTCAGTGAGTTTTGCCCCATTTCACGACCTTTCTCGCCACCGTTAAGGGGATCCTTGCAGTTGTTAAGTAAGTCCCACGGTTGTTAAGTGAATCTGGCTTCCCCCATTGACTTTGTTCATCAGGAGGTCGCAAAAGTGGATCACGCAACCCCGGGGACACTACAACCGTCATAAATATGAATCAGTTGTCAGTCGTCTGAAATTTAATCACGTGACCATCGAGATGCTGCATCGTCATAAGTGCGAAAAACGGTCATAAATCCCATTGTTCATTGCTGTTTGTATTGTATTTATTAGTTTGTCAAACATGTACAAGGGAGCAGGTATAAATATAAACATGGATATGAATGAAAGAAATGAATACAAATAAATGGGGACAGTAGGACAGGAATGGTAGGCACACTGATGCTTGGAACGGTCATAAATGGACTGTTGCAAGTTGAGGACTACCTGTATACCCCCATCCCCCCCCCCAAAAAAATGTCAACAAACTACTGATATAACCAACTGCTTACTCCTCGCAACCAGGCTAAAGATCTGGATATTTTTAAGTATTTCTCTGAAGTTCTTCCTCTTTTCTCAGTATCACCTGATTTTACTTTTCGGAATCTCCTCCTCTCTGGATTTGTAATCCAGGGATTCCTTTTGATCAAGGGATTTGGACAGGCTCCCCAAAGGTTTCTGGGGGGGGGGAAAAAGAACTGGGCAAATAAGAGGGAATTAGGTTTTTGGCCAGGGATCTGTGCACTACCCATTCAAGTCAGAAACAAATCTCGTTGTTATACATTTTAACTCATAGCAGAGAAATTGTACAGGGAGTGCTTGAATCACCAATACATCCATCAAACGTCCATTGCTAAGCCAAGCAGTCACTAAGGGAGCCCCGTTTTAACTTTTTGGCCGCGGTTGTTAAGCGAATCACTGCAGTTGGTAAGTGAAACACAGCGGCGTTAAGTGAGTCCAGCTGCCCCCCCCCCTCATTGACAGAAGCCAGCTAGGAAGGTTAAAAATAGAGATCACATGACTTCAGGTCATAAATAAATGCCCGTTTGCCAAGCGCCCAAATTTTGATCATGTGATGCTGGGGAATGCTTCACCGGTCCTAAATGTGAAACCTGGTCATAATTCGGTTTCTCTGCCATTGTAACTATGAATACTCACTGAACAAATCGCTCTAAATTGAGGACTGTCTGTATGTGAGTAAAATGCCTTGAGGGACATGGCGGCTCAGTGGCTAAGACGCTGAGCTTGTCGATCAGAAAGGTTGGCAGTTCAGAGGTTCGAATCCCTAGCGCCGTGTAACGGAGTGAGCTCCCGTGACTTGTCCCAGCTTCTGCCAACCTAGCAGTTCAAAAGCACATTAAAAAATGCAAGTAGAAAAATAGGAATAATCTTTGGTAGGAAGGGAACAGTATTCCATGCGTCTTCGGCATCTAGTCATGCCGGCCACATGACCCCGGAGATGTCTTTGGACAGCGCTGGCTCTTCGGCTTTGGAACGGAGA